AATTCACTGTTTGTATAAAAATATTCATGAATCAGAAATAGTTGCATTTTCCAAACCATTAACTAACCCAACCCTGGGGAGGAGAAGACAAGGGGGAAGCCTTATCTCTAATCACAGTCGCGATCAGACTGGCTAACTCGTGAGCACTGGACAATCTTACAGGATTTCCCCCGATATCATAAGGACCCGCTGGGCTGGACTGGGCTGGACTCTGCTCAGAGCACTGGGGAGTCTGCTGGGGAGCGAAAGGGTGCTGGAGGTCTCATTCTGAGGACACAGAAACATGGGAAGGAGCACCACTCCTCATGAGGATGTCTGGAGGTGGGCTACCTCCTCCCAAGGGTGGTCAGGGCAGCATCTCTGAGGGGAGGTCTGACTCTGTCAGAAAAGCCAGCTTCTTCAGGCCTAGGGAAAGAGTGTTTCTGGCTGCGCAAATAGCAAGTACAAAGGCCCTGAGGCAGGAATGAGAGGGGCTAAAAACCATGTGCCGACATGCTGGCCTAGATGCCATCCCAGAGGAGAGATGAGCCTAACTGGTAGGAGCCATGAGATAGTTTCCATTTCCGGGCCCGGTGGGTTTTATAATGCCTCAGCACCGAGGTCCTCATGAGCAGGACTCCAGGGTAATGGCACATGGTGGGGGTGGGGGGTGGGGGAGGGGGGGCGGGCGGAGAGGGAGTGGGGATGCAAAGAGTCAAAATAGGAATGGAAGCTAAATTGCTTCCTGGTGTTCACCATGTGTCTGATCTATGCCACGTGCTCTGCCTACATTGCGGCCAGGTATGCTCTGGGAGCCAACCAGCCCCACCCCCATCGGGCTTCCCAGTTCCCAGGGCCTAGTGCCTAGGAATTGGAACCCACCTCAAGTGGACTCTGGAGGGCAGTCCCCTTAACTGTGGCCACAGTACCCATGGGTGGTAACCTGCTGGGGTACCCAGTGAGTGGCAGAGATACTGAGTCTCTGTGGCACTGGCTTCAATGGGGCCTTCAGGGTGGAGCCTATGGTCCCTGCGGGGTGAGCCCCCCCATCCCTGGTGGTCGGGGTGCTACAGAAGGTCAATGAGAATGCTGATCGCGTCCTTCCCTCCATTCCCAGCCTGCTCCTTATTGGCTTCACCTGTGAGAGTCTCACTTTCCTCTTCTGATTACTGCTAGCTAATGCTCCTCAGGAGGGTCCCACTGGGTGGGGACTGGTTCTGTGCCCCCGATGCTGGGGACCCAGAGTCTCATTTGCCTGCGGCTTTCCAGTCAGCCCACTCCAACGCACCCCTGGCAGCTCCTCCTGCCACAGCTGTCTCCTCTGGCCGGGCTCAGCACAGGTGGCCTGTCCCTCCGTCCTAGCTGGTCATTGTGGTTCACAGGAGCCTCAGTGGGCCTGGCTGGCCTCCTGACCCCGTGCCCCTGCTTCCTCTCTCCAAGAGAAGTGGGAGGGAGAAAACTAGCAAGCGAAAGCTTCTGTTTGCAAAATAGAGATGAAGCTACCCCCAGCAGCCTCGGGCCGGGCTCAGCTACTCTCTGAACTCCCCAGCCCATCCTTCAAGTCTTCGGATTCCTGCTAAGCAGCTGCTCTGCAGAAGCCGCCAGCATACTGGTGGCTTGGAGTCTCTATGTTTCCCAAAAGGATGGCACGTTATCCCTCGGAGGTGAACAGATCCCTTATCTTCTCTTGTGCATTTCCTGGTGGCAGCTGCGCCAGGTTTTTCTCCCACCACACTTGCTTCCTGCGCTGCTTGCATCCAGCAGGGAAAACGCAATGCAGAGCGATGAAATAATAATCAAGCTGAAGGCTCCTGCCACAGAAAGACTCTATTCAATCAGCAGAGGTTCACTATTTGCCTACCCCATAACAACAACAAAATAGTACTAGGAAATGGAGTCCAAAATTGAAGAGATTTGGCCCTACTATTGAGGAGGTCAAAATGATAAGAGAAGACACACAGATGCCCAGTCTGGCCATCCTACCAAAGAGAGGAGAGGTAGGTGGGGTCTTGGAGGATGAATAGGAGTTTGGGAAATAAGTGAAGAAGAATGGAGGTCAAGTGGTGAAAGGAGAAGGAGGAAGAGGCCACTGGGAGAACTCCAGGCCCCCTGAAAACAACACCTTTTAAGGGGGCGAGGAGGGGGGCGTGTGGATTCAAGGAAGGGAAGCAAGCCTTGCCAGGGAGAGTTACAGGCGAGAGCCAATCTGTCTGAGCCCATGTAGAGAGACAGGAAGGTTTGGCTGGGAAGCCCTGGGTAGATGGAGCAGCTACAGAACCAGGCTCCCTGGCTTCCTCTCACAACTCTTTTTAATTTCTCCAAAGTTGCCCATCTAGGGAACTACGGTGGGCGATTTAGAGGAATTTGAGGTCTGTATTCAGCAGGTGCTGAGTAACTGTGTGTGGTCTTGTGGCAGTGTCCATTTCCCATCATCCACCTTCACACCTCGGCTTCACCTCCTCCCTGTCCCACAGGCAGGGGAGCCGTTAAACCCGTCAGTTGGATCCTGTTGAGTCTCTGCCTAAAAGTTCTTTAGGGCAGAAGGGAGCTCTTGCCAGGCCCCCAAATTCTGTGGCTCTGTGGTTCTCCCTGGTCTCCTTTTAGACTTTCCTGCTGGCCCTGGGCTGTGGCAGGGCCTGAGCTCTCCGCCTCTCCCCCCGGCCCTCAGTCTCCCTTGGGTCCTCAGTCCCCTCCTGGGTCCTTGTCCTGGGAAATCACCCCAGAGCCCCGGCCCACCTCGCGCAGCCCTGTCTTCTTCCTGCTCCCTGAGTGCATGCTCGGGAGCAGGTGTTCAAGAGACTCTGGACACCTTCATGTCCCTCCACGGATCTGTGTGGATGGGTGTGTGACCCCATTCCCACCTTTGGCAGCATCCAAGTCCTCTGGTCTTCCTGCGCTCTGTAGATGTACGTGGCTGCGGTCCTGAGCTGCGCTTGCACTTCCAGCCTGGGAGTGGCCTCTGTAGCCTAGGACGGACTTAGGCCCTTAGGGAGGCCGGATGCACCTTGCAAGGATTATGCACCTGGAAACAGCATATTCTATCTGACTACTGGAGGTCCGGGACCTCCAGTGGGACAAAGGGTGCCTAGCCCAGGCCGTTGTCATAGATGGCACCCTGGAATCACTCAGAAGGGCCACAGTGGCCTCTGGCTCTGCAGTTGCCGCCATGGAATTCTTCGCCACAGCTGAGCAGGCAACAGCATCTTCATTCAGCTCTGGGCCTGCTCCTTCCACAGACCACCCGGGACACGGCGAGGACCTGTAAGAGACGGCATGACAGCCGCGTGCCCCAGCCTGCCACCCGGAGACCCCGCTGTCACCGTTCCAGTTCTGCTCAGCCACAACCACGGGCAGTAATTCATTCTTCTGTTCGCACACTTCATTGGCTGAGTGCGGTGGTCAGAGGCATTGATGGACTGTACTGGCCTTCCACAGCAGCTTGGACCACACAGGGTTCCCTGCCCTGGGCTTGTGAGAAGCAGACTTCTGGGCTGCAACCCAACAGGCCACTGAACGGGGCTCCCCGGAGCCATGCTTGTGCACTTGTGTTGTTGGCTAGTCCCAGGGACCCAGCGCCTCTGTGCCATGAGAGGAAGGACAGAATTGGGGAACCTCCACCCCAGAGAACAAAACCCAAAGCACTTTGCTGTGCATTTGGAGTCTGTTTCCATCTGGCCTTGGTTTACCTTTGTAGCGTCATAGCCTGCCTGTGCCCTGGACCCACAGCAAAGCACGGTTTCACCTAACTTCCTGGGGGGATCCTTCTAGAATCTCACCCATCCCAGAACATGGTAGCGGCAGCGGCTCCTCCTCCCTCCTCTTCCTCCTCTTCCTCCTCTTGCTCCTCCTCCTCCTTCTCTTCTTCCTCAGTTTATTTTGGTTGCTACATGGACTTGAATTCAGAGACTCATGCTGTCACTTACATATTCATTCAAGACGGGCACTCCACCACTTGAACCACAGCTTCACTTCTGGCTTTCTTGCTGATTGCCTGCCAGGGAAGGTTTCCAACCACGAGCCATAGATCTCCCCTTCCTGATTAACTAGGACTCCAGATGTGACTGGCTGGCACCCGGCCAGCCCCTCCTCCCATGCTCACTGCCCCCATGCACCGAGGCCACAGCTGACAGAGGTCTCACATGGTGACTCTGCCGGGAAGCCCCATCCTGAGCTGGCTCGGACTGGTTGGGCCTGCAGGCCTGTGGCCCACAGATGCGGCCTCAGTGGTTTCCTTGCCCTGCAAGGCTTCTCTGCCCATGGGGTCATCACAGCTTTGAACCCTCCCTCCCAGGAGTCTGTTCACGCTGCAGGCTATTGGAGTGTGTCCACATGTGTCATGAAAAGGGCATGGTGACTTTGGCAGCTCTCCTGCGATCTGGAAGTATCTAGGTGTGGCCCAAGCACGGGCTACTGGACATTTCAAACCCTTCCCCCTCCACTCCTTCCCCCTGCCCCTCCGGATGGGGTGGCCACTGCTGACCACATGCTCCTGTATGATCTGTTAAAGGCAGTGTGGACCCATGGAAGGTACTTACTGAGCTCTCTCCAGGGGGCACTGCTGCTCAGAACAGGGTGCTACCTGGGCTCATCTGGCAATAAAACCCAGCACCTCCGTTCCAAGGAGCCACTGTACCTTGGTCCTCAGCAGCCCTGCTGGCAGGTGTGGGGGTCGTGGGGTGGCTTCTGTTCAGAGCTAGGCATTTTGATGCCAGTGTGTGGAGGCCTGGCCCTGCGTGTCCACCTCTCTGGTGCCCTTGGACACACTGTGAGGCCTTGGAGACCCTTTCTTCCTCCCGAATGTTCCCTCCAGCATGGAGGCGGGTTGGCTGCTGGTGTGTGGAGGCCTCAGGATGTCTTAGGAGGCCGAGGCTAGGGGACAAGAGGGTGGGGCTGTCCAGCAGTGCCTACCCTCCCTGCCTGGTGCTGTGCTTTAGCTACCGATGGCGTTGGGGCGCTGTCCGAGTCCTGGGGACTATTCCTGGCACAGTGCTTATAACCACTTTTGTCTCTGTCTCTCTCAGGCACATCTCGCTAACGCTGCCTGCCACCTTCCGAGGTAGGAACAGCACCCGCACGGACTACGAGTACCAGCACTCTAACTTGTATGCCATTTCAGGTATGTGGGGTCTCCGTTGCGGGCTGCCTGCCTGGCCCGCGTCTCCTGTGTCACCTTTGCTGCTGTCTGTCTCATGACTCTCAGCCCTGCAGGGTCCCCCTTCTTGTGTAACCGCCTAATAGTCATGTTTCAAAACCAACAATGAAAAACAATGTGTGGGTTTCTCCAGCTCGAAGGGAAGTTCTCAGAGAATCCTCACCTCACTGCTCACGGGCCAGACCCTGGCGGGTCTCCGTGGGATCCACGGGCTCTCAGAGCAGTGCCGAGCTAAGCTAGGCTTCCTCACTTGCCCAGCCAGATCCAAGTCCCCTGGCCTCTGATTGTTTGTAGTCGGCTTATGGTCAGGCTGTCTGCGTCTCACACACCCGGAGTTCGAGTCTGCCGTGTCGGAACTCAGCCTTGAAACTGATAAAGTTCACTTGGCAGGAACTTCATCGGCCCTCACTGCCGATGAAGGAGCCTTCTCAAGGAGCGAGGGGAACTTTAGCAGCCTGATTACAGAATTGAGATTCATTAGGTCCAGGTAGGACAGGTGACTTGCTAAGACATGGGGAAACTCACAAATTCGCCTCTGATTATCTTGGACCATCGGGCAGAGGTGTGTGTGAGGGGAAGTGGTAAATCAGTGCCACTTACCACTGTGCACCCCTAATGCTGAGTGACGTTCCGAACAGGGGAACATGGCATTCATTCATGTACCATAATGAATCGGTTATTTAAAAGGTAATCTCTTTTTTTTTCCCTTTTTTCTAAAAATTGCAACTTCGGGTTACTAAATAGATGAACTAGAACAATGGCATAATTCTTGTCAGTATTACTTTCTCTCGTTCTGATCAGTCCCTAATAGGTTTAGAAGTCTAAGCCAAATCTAGTTGGTTCCATTTCTGGGCAACACTCCTGCTGGGAAGAAAGACCTGGGAGGTGCTCCTTCCCTCCCCCCCACTGCCCACCCCGTAGCTGGCTGTACTCCAGGAGCCTGGCTCTCCAGGGCCCAGGGAGCAGTTTGTCTAAGAAAAGGGCCTCTTGGGAGAGCTGCTTCTGTGCGCTGGCTATTTCAGGAGAGCATAACAAGTGTGGAAAGATGACCGCTTTCGTAGAAAAGCTGACGATTTCCCCAGATGTCTGCTGGCAGAGCAGCACGTAAGAGGCCCATGAGATCCTGCCTGGCCACCCTTGTCAGATAGTGAGCAAAGACAGCGCTGTCACACAAGGCGACTTCCCCCTTTGCAGCTGGAAAACCTCTCTCTGGTGCCGTGCTGGCCTCCACCACCATCCCTGTCCTCTCTGATGGCTTTCCCAGCTGTTTGGTGGGTTGTTGGGATTTTTTTTTTTTTGTAGCGAAGGCCCCCGCAGAGTGAAATCTCCTCTGGTCTGGCAGGAACGTTGCTGTCTGATTTTCTCCCACTGTGTTCTCACCCTGCCATGTTGATGAGGTGTTGTCTGGGTTCATTTCAGCTGCTAGTTGAGTAATAGCAAGGTACCAGCCTCAGGACACAGAGGAAGTCATTCAGGAACTTCCTCCTGCATTTCTTAAGTGATACTCACTGGGATTTTAGCTTGCAGAAGGAGTTGAAGCTCAGGTCCATACCAACCAACTTAGGCCTCCTCAGCCACTGCAGGCACCAAATTGCTCTTCCAGCATCCAGAGTGCTCTATAGCTGCTGCCAGAACCGCTGTGCCCCCTGTGCGCCCTCCCCGCCCCCCAGGACCCTCTGGCTCCATCAGGCCTGCAAGCTCAGCACTGGGCAATCAGGGTGTAAACTGGGAAGCCTGCCCACCCCTCACTGGCAGCCTGCCCCTGCCTCACTCACGAGAAGAGAACAGAGACCACCCTGCCACCCCCTCGTAAACCACAGCTGGTGCCAAGTAGCCCATCTCAGCTTGCTCCTGCAAAATGAGGGTTTCCCGTTGTTCATTCCAAAAACTGTTCAGGAAGCATACCCCAGGTCCCAGCACCCACGCTAGTGCCCGTACCTCCATAGCTGGAGCTCTGCTATAATGAAATGAGTCATCAACCTGTGCTCCTCCTAAGCCAGCCCTGGCCCACATCTGCAGCACAGTTCAGCCACTAGCCTTTGCTGAACATTCTGGCATGTTCTATATGGTCCCTGAGGTCCTCTGATTCCTTGCTAAGATAAGTAGACTTCAAAACAATGTAATTAGAAGTTTGCAAGGCAGCCCATACTAATGCATACTCCTGGTTACTTTTAAATGTTATCCCTGTGGTGTGCCTGCTTACTGTCCCTTTACCTGGACTTTGAACAAAAGCAGTTCACCATACCACACCTGCAGATGGAGAGCCCCAGCCCAGAGGTGACGGGGCAGCAGCAGAGACCATACACATTCTGTCCCTGGCACAAGGACCCTCATAGAGCCTTCATAAAGAAATGAAAGCATGAGCCAGATGCTAGCGTCTCATACCTGTAATTCTAGCTACTCAGGAGGCTGAGATCTGAGGATCACAGTTCAAAGCCAGCCTAGGCAGGAAGGTTCATGGAGCTGTAAGACTCTTATCTTCAGTTAACCAGCAAAAGGCTGAAAGTGGAGTTGTGGCTCAAATGGTAGAGCATCAGCCTTAAATGAAAAAGCTGAAGGTGAGCACCCAGGCCCTGAGTTCACACACACACACACACACACACACACACACTGAGTTCACACACACACACACAGAGGGAAGGATGTGGCCCAGCATACTCCCAGGGCAGCTGGTCTCCCTGATTGGCTGCTTGCACACCTTCCTGCTCTGGAGGTGCCTGTCCTTCTGGCCCAGTTTGTGTCTATGGCGTCCATCCTCATTGACCTAGGCCCCGCCTTGCTTCAACCTGGGGTACTCTGCATCCCATCATCCAGATGGGCTGGATCTACACAATCCAGTAAATATTTCTCTCTTGCTCACAGAAGTAGGGTGAGGAACTTTTGCTGGCCTGATGCTAAGTCCCTGAGGCACGTGCCCCTTGATGTGCCCTGCTCTGCCACCTTGTGCCCCAGTCACAATGGCTGTGCAGCAAATCTTCAATCTCACACTTCCTCTTTGGGAATCTGTTCTAGCAAAATGTTTACAGGTGTGCAAAAAGATTTACCCACGAGGACAAAGCACTTGCTTTAAAAAATATATATTCCAAAGCAGCATTGGCAAGTTAGGTACATCTTAAATGCCTCCTAAACAAGGAAAAAAAATGGTTACATTGCAAAATATCCAACCAGTGGCCTTAACTTTACAGCTATTAAAGAAAAAAGAGAGATTTAGCTAGAACGGAATATGTGAATATTGCTAAGCAGGAGGGATGCTCAGCGTGGTCACATTTAAAAACTTTGTCTGAAGTTCTGCAGTTGTCCATGCTAGCTTGCTGACTTTCTAGACTTCTCTCCTCTCCTTTTCTCTGGCCTCCTTGCCATTTCTTCTTTTCCTACAATAGCATGGGTTGCTTGTGTGATGAGAAAAACACAAATCCGGCATTCATGCAGCATGCTCTCGGCTCTCAGTAAAGCCCACTACCCCAGCGACCACCCAGGGGGTTCTCTTGAGTGTTCATAAGCTTCTTGGGTCATAAAACATTTTACCAGTTAGAATGTTATGGATTTAGGTCACTTCTAGACCACAAATCGATGATTTGCTTGTCCCATTTTGAGAATATAGCCTCTGCCTCTTCTCATCCAGTCCCCGAAGCCCCATCCACTCCACTTGAGCTATCCCAACATCCATGGTTCCAGATTCTTCCATCACAGCCTCACTGCCCTTTCCCCCCCAGCCTCCAGCCAGGACCCAGCAGTCACTCACTCACTCACCCACCACCTTCGCTCCTCAAGCTCCCATCACCCAGAGAGTCTTCGATAAGTAGTTGGGAAAAAAAGTAAAAGAATACTGTTCATTGACATGTAAAAATGACATGAACTCTAAATAAAGATTTATTGAAACTCAGCCACTCATGTTCCTTAGCAGGTTGCTCACAGCTGCTTTCACAGGTTAGTAACAGAGACGCGTGACAGACGCAGACACCTGATGGCTGCAAAGCCTGCACTGCCTATCCTCTGGCCCTTCCGCAGCACGCTTGCCCACTCCGGCCTCTGTCCTCAGCAGAAACACTCTTGCTTTTTTCCTTTCTTCCTTTTTTTGTGACCATAATTTTGCCTCCTGTACTTCCTCTGGATGTGTGGAGGCTCATGTCTCCTTCCTGTGTGAGTCTCACTGTCTTGCGGGCATTTGAACATACTGGGGGAGACCTGGCCTCTGTGGAGGCCCCAGGTGCTGTGGAAGACCTGGCCCCCATGAAGACCATGGGGATTTCTCCAGATTTCACCCTCAGAGCCCTCCCTCCCCCAGAACTCTACTTGGCTGGAGATTTTCTTTTTAAGCATGTCTTATGTGTACGATACATTCTTCTATCTTAGCATTTTGATCCCAGACTGCCTCACCCCTCCTCATATTTTCCAGTAAAATTCTCTTTTACATGATCGGATATCTGAGCATTCATTAGATTCTATTTCTCCTGCTCTGGGAGAGTTCCAGGAAGCCTCCCCAAATACCTGTAATGAGATGAACATGGGGTAAGAAGACAGCAGGTTAAGACTAGGGTAGGAATCAAGTGTGGTTGTATCCAGGAGCCTCTGGGTTTGGTTCCCAGTCAGAGGCAATCTCCAGATGGATGAAAATAAACCAGTTGCTAGGGAAGAAGTTAACGCTTCCACTCTCTGAGCCCAGAGAGTAATCTTCCCTCGAAAAGCCATCCATGATGGATGAAGGCTCCCATGGATTCCTTGAAAGCCACACAGAGCGAGTGAAACATCTCTATGGACCAGAGGCGTGCTTCTGGTTTCAAAGAGACTTGTTTCTTTACTTCTGCCCTCTTCTGCGTTATATCCACATGAATAACTGCCTCATCCATACCTATGAAAACTAATGTATGAGCTAGGTGCCAGTGGCTCACATCTGTAATCCCGGCTATTCAGGAAGCTGAGATCTGAGGACCCTGCTTCAAAGCGAACCCAGACAGACACATCCA